AACATTGCACTGGAAATCCTTGCCAGTGCAAAAAGGCAAGAAAAAGAAATGAGACCTACAAATTTAAAAGGAAGAGATAAAGCTGTCTTTGTTCAGAAGTGTGATTATCTATGTGGAAAACTCCAAATCATCTACAAATAATAAAACTACTGGAATTAACGAGTTATCAGGGTCACAGAATACAGCTTCTCTATAGGAAAACCAATCCTATTTCTTTACACCAGCAGTCTCTGATCATCATGCTAAGTTTGTACAAGCCCCTAGCCTTACACTTTCTCCTACACACGCTAGCAAATTACCTGATCACCTACTCAGAGAGAAAATGGAAATCATTAGATAGTAATAACCTCAGCTTCCTGCCACCAAAACTACTTGCATGGCACTCAGCCCCTCCTTCCTTCTCATCACAATGGAAAAGACTAACAGAGCCTACTCTGTTCCTTGAGCGTTCCAACCCTTCCCATCTCAGAACTGATTCACATGCTATTCCTGGAATGCTTTTAACCCCACTTTTCTGAGCTAATTCATGCTAATCCTTCAGGTCTTAACTTAAGTATCTCTTATTAGGTGAAGCTTTCCCTTATCTTCTCCTCTCCCATTATTTAGTTTCTTAGCTGCTGTATTTCCCCCTTTATATCAGTTTTAAACTGTAATTAAATAATTTGTTGTGTATAGTATTGTTCTTATTATTTCATGGAGCTTGAGGTTACAAAAAAGAGTCACATTTCTCTTTTTTCCCTTCAAAAACTATTTAAATATATTTCAGGACTTGACTTAGCAATGTTGACAGGGATGCCAGTTTTAGGCGTTTCAGGGGATCGCCATTTGTCTCCCTCCAGGAGAAATACCAGTCAGAGATATCTCTTGCTCTCACTATTTAAATATTCCAGCAAAAATAAACAAGCCATATGCTTTGCTGAATAACTCTCTTATTAGTGATATTAGGGAGTTTAGTTGTTTTGCTAATGTGTCATCTTCTGCCATGGTTTCCATAATAGCTGTGACTGAATTCAAGCAGCTATTAGAGTAATCAGCTCTGTTTTATACTAACTCTAATATTGACACCAAGTTGTTGGATATATTTATGCAAAAGATATGATGGACATGTCTCTGTTGTCTAATTTTTGTGTGTCAAAAGTCCACTTACCTCCAGCAAAATGAAACAATTAGATATCATTAGTAATGTTTTTATAGTTATGAGTATCAGCTAACTTTATTTTGGCTAGAGGCAAAGATTTATTTGACCTGTAACAACACTTGATATTGTATTAGTGCAGTTTTACTTATTTTAAGTAATAAAATGGCTGTTTGCCTGTAACAAGATGTGCTTATTCCTGGTTTTTACTTCAGAAATCCTCTGTAAACTGTGAAAACCACATAGTGGAATCTCTAGAATAGGTGGAGACCTTTAAAAACATTCTACTTTCTGAGCCAAAATTCCATCATAGTGTTTGAAGATCTGTACCTTCCTCTGCCAAGAAAAGCCACAGTGTATTTTCCATTCTTTCATACTCCTACAATACAACATTACAGCCTCAACTCTAGATCTATGTTTTTTGCTGTTGAAGTTTTTTTCCCCATTCTGTTATTTTCATATATGAGTATGTGAATATATGAAATAGCTATGAAAATAATGTCTGAAGTTATGTGTGTGAGAGTAAAAATAACCAAAGAAAGAAAAGCAGGAGTCCCGTCCCGTCTCCATCCCCCCCATACCCCCCCCCCAAAACAGACAGCTAGATAGACCCAAAAAAAAGGGGAAAACCTGAAGGAGAAATTAGATTATTTAACAGATGAGTTTTACTCTTAAATAGAAAAACGTGGCCAGAAATACTTAGATATATTTAATCTGTCCTTGTGTTGTTATTGCTGTCAGGACAAAGGTCATAGCTCCTCATGTAGCAAGCAGATCAGACCATGGAACTCTTATTTTGATACTCTGGTCCCTTTCCTGGTACAGCCCTTGAACAGTGGTATAAAAGTAGGCCCACCTGGGTGAGACAAGCACCTATGGAAAAACCCTACCAGAGTGTTCTGGGTTTGAAACACCACGACCCCTTCTCTTACTAGGGAAAAGTTTAACAACTTAGGAGAAAGAAGAGTGAATAGGTGTTCTAGGTAGCTCTGCCTTATGTTTTTCTTTTTAATCTAAAAATTGAATTTTATGTAAGATAGTGACACCCAAAGTTTTTAATCAGCAAAGGTAATTTCTTTATCATTTTCTAATGATTGATTCTGTTTTGAAAATGATTTTTACTTGGGGCCCGCCCTGTAGCCAGGTGGTTAAGTTTGTGCGGCCCAGGGTTTTGCAGGTTTGGATCCTGAGTGCGGACATGGCACTGTTCATCGGGCCATGCTGAGGCGGCGTCCCACATGCCACAACTAGAAGGACCCACAACTAAAATATACAACTGTGTACTGGGGGGATTTGGGGAGAAAAAGCAATAAAAAAAAAAACAAAAAAAAAAGATTGGCAACAGTTGTTAGCTCAGGTGCCAATCTTTAAAAAAAAAAAAAGAAAATGATTTTTACAAAAGAAGCTCATTAAGTACATGCTTTCTCCATTTTTAATGATCAAATACACATGCAAATACCAAACGAAACTTGTAATCAACATGAAATAACCAGTGTCATCATTTTGAGTTATAATCGAAAGTAACAAAACTGCTGCTCTAACATACCATCCTTAACTGTTCAGTTCCATGAAGTCTTCTCAAGTGTTGAAAGTAGTCCACAGGTCCCCATTACTACTTTAATGGGGCTCAAAGAGTCTAACACCTGTTTTTGAAAAATCTGTATGAGAAAAGAAATTCTCCACTGCCATATCGTGACCTGATTCCTCTTGTCCATCGCTGGGCATTATTTGTTTTATTTGTAAAATGGGGATAATAATTGATTAACAGGCAGGGATCTGAATAAGAAAGCATTCTGGAATCTTTTCTAATTTTTTATTCAGTTATTTGTTCAGCACATATTTAAGTGCTAAGCACTGAACTACATAAAAGTAAGACTGATAGGGGATCTGCCTCAATAGTGTTTACAATTTAGTTCATACCCGGTACTCTGGTGTTAATACTATTCAATTAGTTTCTGACTTTATTGTTGTATTTCATTCATATAGTACTGAATTTTATTGGCTTAGCTGTTTGGCATCTCTTCTGTCCTCGCTGGGTTTCAAGTAGAAGGATTTTTATTTATCTATTTATTTTTTTGAGGAAGATTAGCCCTGAGCTAACATCTGCCGCCAATCCTCCTCTTTTTGCTGAGGAGGACTAGCCCTGAGATAATATCCATGCCCATCTTCCTCTACTTTATATATGGGACCTGCCACAGCATGGCTTGATAAGCGATCCATAGGTTCACACCCAGGATCTGAACCAGCGAACCCTGGGCTGCCGAAGCAGAACATGTGAACTTAACCACTGCACCACTGGGCGGGCCCCAAAGGATTTTTTTTTTTTTCCCCCAAGAAAGATTTCTAAAAGACCAAAGAAGAATCTAGCTATAAAAAAGATATAAGACCCCTTAGAAATAATCTTTTGTGTTAGAAACCATCCATATTGCCGCCTCAAAATGTCAGTTATTGCTTCCTAGAGTACTTTATCAGTTGTGTGCAAGGATTAATCTCTCTTTAAAAAACTAATGGGACTAACCTTAATTTTCTAAAAATAAAAGTGCATATGGTAATGAATAATTTGTGACGTAACTTTAAGAAAAGCAATATAAGGCATGTGAATCATAATCAGTTTATTTTTTTAATAAGAATATGCAGATAGCTAAAATACATGTATTACATGCTTTTCTGGGGGTTATCAGCATTACATTACTACATATTTCTTTATACACATTCACACAGACATTTAGATTTGTAAATTAAATGATAATTTTTGTCTATTTGATGATCTCATGGTATAATAGCACCTAATATTAGAATCTAGAGTTCTTTATCATTGGGTGACACATAATAGTTTATTAATGAATAAAAATTATCCCAAAATAGTAACACCTAAGCTTACATTGTCATAGATGTTTATAAAAATTATATAGTCGTATTCACAACTAAAATTTGATGAATAATGCAAAAATAAAATCTTAACAGTTTATTACCCAATAACAGTATTTGTCCCCAGTAGATTTATAGTCCAAATTAAGTATCCCAAGCTAAGGAAAAGACACCTCTGAAAGTATTCATTTTTTTTTAACCTGTCACCTAAATTTTCATAGACCATTTAATGGTACTGAGGGAACTTCATGGATAAGATAATTTTGAGAGCAAGAAGGGAAACTCGTGATGCGCATATCTTATGTCAGAAACAAAACATTTTTACTATTGTTCTAGATGTGTAAAATGGCTTGAGGCTATCTTCAGAATAAGTCTCAACAAAATAAGCAATGTGATTACTTTAGAATTAGAATAGATCAGAGGGAAATTATGTAAGGAGTAAAGAAGATAGCTGAAAACCGGAAAGAATTTTAAATCTGTTATCCAATAGGAAATCATTAAAAGTAACATCACCTTAGAACAAGCAGTCATGTTAGCTAACCTTTTAAATTTGACTGGAGAGCTGTAAGCTTAAGAGAACTTTTCAGGGTTTAAAAGTGTAACTTTCTAAAACATGATGTGTACGTTTTTAATCAGTGAATGCAAGAAGAGACAGGTTTTAATAATCATGAAGAAAGAAATCATTTGGCAAGAATTTATTTATGGTGCAGACAACTAAAGTAAGGAAGGTGGTTATACGATTTCATATGTCTGAAATGGGGTGAGTGAAGTTGAAACTAGGTCTTACAAAGAACTACAATACAATGTCTTTGTGTTTAGACTTAGAATTCTCTGGCTCATAACTTTGGTTCAATGATGTGAGCTAAAATTGCCAAACATTTATTCTTTTATAAATAATTAGTTGTTTATTTTGTCTTTTAAATGATTTTCTTTCTTAATGGAAATTGAATTTTACCAAGCAATATGGCTACTAAATAATGTTTCTTCTTTTCTATAGGTAAAACTTCAGTCAGGAAGCTGACAAAAAAGGTAAGCAATGTGGCGGAGTGAGGCGGTTTCTTTCTTTTTTTTTTGTAAGATAGAAAACAGCTTTTATAAGTTAAATTGAAATATTTTAATATGTTTATTCAAAGGACATCGAGGATGTACTGGCAGGAATCCAAAAAGCTGGTTGTGGATCTACGTTTTTTAGAGACCTTGGTGATAAAGGTAATGTTGATTTGTTGTTAAATTTCCATTTATGTATTTTATTTAACCAAAATAGTGTTAAGGAATTAAATTGTGAGGTTTGCAACTGTATATTAGACAATATACAGTAGAGAATCTACACAGCTTATTTACCATGAAGGAAGAAGGATTGTGAACCTGTGCATCTTTACCGTGTTATTTAATAGATGTTTTAAGCCTCCTTGTTACCAGATCGAATGACGATATTTTATATTCTCCGCTTGTGTGATCTCGGTATTTGATACTGTTATCTACTCTCACCTCAAAACAGTCCCCTCTTTTGGCTTTTATGACCCCATCCTTTCTTATATTTTCTTACCATCCTAGTTATTTCTTTTCTATCTCTTTTGATGAAATTCAACCAGAATCACCTAAACTGGCAAAATCAAACATGAGGTTATTCTAATGGGGGTGAGTTTGAAGGAAGGGATTGACTAGTCAATCCTAAAACAGCGTAAGAAATTCTGTATCTCATACGAAATAATAAGGTTTAACAGCAAGATTTAACAAACTTTGAAGAAAGTAGGAGACTACCTGCCAAATGAAGGTTGATGGGTTTTTTTGGTTGATTCTGGTTTTTTTTTTTTTTCTTTTTAAAAGATTTTATTTTTCTTTTTTCTACCCAAAGCCCCTGGTACATAGTTGTGTAATTGTTTTAGTTGTGGGTCCTTCTGGTTGTGGCATGTGGGATGCCACCTCAGCATGGCCTGATGAGCAGTGCCATGTCCATGCCCAGGATCCGAACCAGCAAAACCCTGGGCCACCAAAGCAGAGTGGGTGAACCCAACCACTTGGCCACAGGGCAGCCCAGGGTGATGTTTTTGAGGCCTAGCATATGATGTGGGAGTTGAGATGTCAAAGAGCAGAAAGCAAACATTCATTTTCTTGATATGAAGAAGATAGTGAGTAGTGGTTGAGCTTATATAAAACAGATTAATGGAAGCCTTGAAAGCAACTGTGAGATTTGAAGAGAAGCTAGAAAGTTATTCTAGTTTCCCAAACTGTGTTTAGTTACAGTCTAAATTCTTCATACGAAGCAGGGCAGGGGGAGGAGGGGGATGCCTGTAGATTTTCTTTATTCTTTGCTTTAAATTGAGACTACTGATACATATATATCTCTATTGCTATATCTGTCTCTATATCTATATATATACACCTTTCTAACTATCAAGGAGATACATTTATCAACCTACTAAAGTGTTTTCCTCATTGGATAGTTCTCTTTCCCTATTCTTTACATAGCTAGAGGACTATTTATATCTCAGAATGAACAAGGGCATCATACATTTCCAAGATTTCTTGGAGAATGAAAAGCCAGTATTTCTGGATGATTGGGGGAAAGGCCCTTAGTGTGATTCACTATTCAAAAAATAAATAGAAAATGGAAACAGCAGAAAGTTTGATTTTTTTTGCTTTAAGCGAAGTCCGTGAGGCTGTGAGTAGGAGAAATAGAGGAAAGATGATTAGCCAGAGCGGCTTTAAGAGGAACTAGAAAGAATAAATGACTGCAAGGATAGATAATAGAGAGAGCACGCACTTCAGTCGGAGAGAAAAGAATAAGAAATGTACACTGGGCAGCTGCAGGAGGAGAATTAATTTCCCACCTTTCACACAGGAGTGTATAAAAGAGCAGCCTTCATTAATAAAGGACTGGTAGGGAAATCAGGTCTTAAAGATAGGACTTATTGGTGACAAGAAAATTAAGCAACTGACAGGGAAATGAGGCAGAACAGCAGAGTTGCGTAATTATGAAGAGTTAGAAGAACCATGCAAGGGCAGAGTGGGAACTCCGACTGTCTTACCGTTTCTCCAGATTCTGGCTTTCCTGTGTTTGCTTTTATTCAACTCTGATTGGGGTCTCAGCCCTGACTCTTCACATTGTCTGTCCCTCCAACACATCTACTTTACCACAGGCTGGGTGAAAAGTGTCCTTAAAGTTGGAAAGGCTTCACAGGTTGAATACATGGAACCTCACAACTTCTGTGTATCTTGGAGTTTATAAGCTGCTTTAATAAAGATATTTCTATCTATTTCCAGGCTTAGAGTGGGAAAACATGTAAACATCTGGCACAGTGCCCTGAGATCAACTGTCAATAAAAGATCTTATTTTATTAAGCAAATCCACGTGCCACAGGTTCTCCTGGAGTCTCTGAAACCACATCATCCCAATTCTCTGTGCTTCTCTTTCCATCATTGGCTTCTCTTCCTCCCTCTGCCCATTAAAAGTTGGTGCTTCCTGGGATTCTGTCCTTCACTTCCTGCTCTTCTGCTTCAGCCTCTTTGGTTTTAGCATCCGTGTATACTAATCACTCTCAACTCTCTTCCAGTATCTCCAGCCCAGGCTACTCTCCTGAGCTTCAGGCTTCTCTACACAAACCAGCTGCCTGACATCTGCTTGTGAATCTCTCAATTATCTTGAATTCATCATATCCTAAACTGAACTCACCATCTTACCCCTAAACCAACTCCTCCTTTATTCTTGGTCTCGTTTGGTAGTAATACTGCTCACCCAGTTCATCGAAACCTGGGAAATATCTTTGAACCCTTTCTTCTTTTGCCCCACCCATCCTTAACATGCGGTCAAACACAAAGTCTTTCTAATTTTGCCTCCTAAATATTTATTGAATTCATCCTCTCTTCTCCCTATCTCTAGAGAACTTGCGGGAAACAGAACAAGAAAAAATCTTGAGGAAGGACTTAACAGTTATTTTTTAGTTTTTCTCTGAAATACATGAGTTGAAGTGTAGTTTTCAACTTAAAAAACACTAATATGAATATTTTATAGGAAAAATTCAACAAAAACTTTTTTCAGAAATATTCCTTTGTTTATATTAATGAAGTAAGAACTATCAAAATTTATAATGTATCAACTAGCAAAAGGTACTATATTCTTGAAATAAAATAATTCACCCACCATACATTATTATAAAGAAAAACAAATTATAATTATTATTCATTTTTTAAAAACTGAGCAGAATTCTCAATATAATACCATCCTCAAGGATGTACTGAATATAAATTATAAGATATGATGTAGGATATAAGTATATTTTTTCTTGTTTTTTTTTTTGAGGAAGATTAGCCCTGAGCTAACATCTGCTGCCAATCCTCCTCTTTTTGCTGAGGAAGACTGGCCCTGAGCTAACATCCATGCTCATCTTCCTCTACTTTTTATATATGGGACGCCTGCCACAGCATGGCTTGCCAAGCAGTGCCATGTCCTCACCCGGGATCCAAACCAGCGAACCCTGGGCTGCCGAAGCAGAACATATGAACTTAACCACTGCGCCACTGGGCCAGCCCAGTATGTTCTTATGATGTGGTAATTTGTCTTTGGGGAACAGGGTTCTTAAAATTGCATTCACTATCAAGTCATATTTTAGAATGGTTCCAAATTTTAAATATTTCTAGAGAAACAGAGTAACTAACAGAATTTAATCATCTCTTCTAGTAGTCTTTAAGAATTCTTTAACAAATTTTTAAATATAAATTATTTAAAATACTTCCCTATGTAACATGCAGTTTTGAAACATTGCCATTTAACAGCATTTATTTTACAATTAAATGTAACAAATATGTATTAAACTTTTCTCCTATAAAGTGCTGAGGTGTCAGTTTTCTTTAAAAGCGTTTTCAAAAGGCAGATACCTAGAATGCTGTTGTAGAACTATATTATTTATAGTCTGTCTTGAGAGTGTAGGGTACTGTTTTTATACTGTCTCTCAACTCTGTTTTTATTCAAGCTTTTTAAGTCAATATTTCAAAGAAAGATTCTGGAATTTCTTTTTCAAAAAGTTCCCCTTGTGTAAAGGATATGTACCTATGTCTAGAGAAAAGAAAAGTGAGGTCTCCTTTTGGCACCAAGCCCAGTTCAGTCTAGCACTTTGGCCATTTTTTCACATTGTCATATTCCTTTGAAAATTAGAAAAAAGCTATTCACTTTTTGAGGCTGCCAAGAGATGAAATACTTTGATCTTTCAACTAACGTTAGAGCACTTCTCTCAGGTACGAGATATGACAAAACACATTTAATTTATTCTCCTTTTATATAAACACTGAATATTTTTAAGAAAAAATATCTGAAGACTTACTATAGGCTTTTTTATTAAAGAGAAGTACGCCTGCTCCAAAATAAAAACGACAACAAGAAAGTTGGTTATGCAAAAAAATGTAAGTCGCTAAAAACATTTAAAATATATACCTAAAGTTACTGTTAGCTAAAACAATGAATTACGTAGACGCAAGATCTTTACTTGCCTTGCTCTGAACTATTTTTGTCCCTGAGTCTCTGCTTTATTTGATTGGGAGCTGTTAGGTTGTGGTCTTCCTTCCTTCAACAGTAAATACGTATCCACTGCCATCACCTGCTTCAAGCCTTTCTTCCTCATTTCTGCACTACCTTGGTAGCTTTATTTCCCATTGCTTCTTCCACATGAACATTGGTTCAGACAGACCATCACTTTTTGATTTTCTTATTCGGCTTCATCTATCTTATATGGCTTTCTCACTTAGATCACACCAGCTTAATCAAAATTTTCACCCATCATTCAAAGACCATTTTTAGAATTACTTCTTGTATGACATCTCTGATCATCTGAACTCTGGAAATGATTTCACATTTTTCTAAAGTTCTGTAACTCCTATTATCAGTGGTATTTAGCGTTTTCTGTAAACATTTACATTTTGGCTTCCTGGTGGAAGTATACAGCACCATCTATTAAGAATTCTAGCCAAAAGTCAAATTTGAATCTGAGCAGAGCTCTGGATCTAAGTACCAGTCTGTGGAAAATAGAGAAATTAGAGGAACATGTGAAATGACACGAAGAAGATGCAATCAGCAAAATTGCCTAGACTATGAGAAACTCCCCAGGACAAATGATCAGGCTTCTTCAACAATTAAGTTGAAAAGGAAGGAAAAAAAGACAAGGGGGAACCTATAAATTAAAAGAGATTTAAGATACAAGAAACAAAAGAGAAAATTGAAAACTTTTGTGAATCAAAGTACACTATCAAGAGAGTAAAAAGGCTACACACAGGATGGGAGAAAATATTTGCAAATCATTTATTAGGAGTTACTATCCAGGATATATCCTACAACTCAACAACAAGAAAAACCAAACAACCCAATTTAAAAATGGGCAAAGGACTGGAATAGACATTCTCCAAAGAAAATATACAAATGGCTAATTCAAACATGAAAAGATCCTCAGCATCACAAATCATTAGGGAAATGCAAATCAAAACCACAATGAGATACCGCTTCACATCCCTTAATATCAAGGGAAAAAAAAATAAGTATTGGCAAGCATATGGAGAAAATATAACCCTTGTGTGTTTTTGGTGGGACTATAAAATGGTGCATCCACTGTGGAAAACAGTATGGTGGTTCCTCAAAAAATTACACATAGAATGACCATATGCTCCAGCAATCCCATTGCTGGCTATGTACCCAAAGGAATTAAAAGCAGGGACTCAAACAGATATTTGTACACCAGTGTTGCAGCATTAATCACAATAGCCGAAAGGTTGAAACAACCCAGATGTCCATCAACAGAGAAATGGATAAAGAAAATGTGGTATGTACATATAAAGGGACATTATTTATCCTTAAAAAGGAATGGAATTCTGATAGATTCTACAACATGGATGAACCTTTGAAGACATTATGGTAAGTGAAGTAAGACAGTCACAAAAGGACAAATATTGTATGATTCCACTTATATGAGATACCTAGAGTAGACTAAGTCATAGAGACAGAAAGTAGAATAGAGTTACAAGGGGATGGGGCAGAAGAGAAGGGGGAGTTAGTTTTAATGAGTATGGGATTTCAGTTTATGATGATGAAAATGTTCTGATAATTGTTGCAAAACAATATGAATGTTCTTAATGCCACTGAACTGTACATTTAAAAATGGCTAAAATGGTAAATTTTATGTTATATGTCTTTTATCACAATAAAAAAATGACTTGAGACCTATTAACCAAGTGTAATGCAAGGACCTTCTATGAATTTGAGCACACTTAAAATTTTTTCTGAAATGGGGATGTTTGTAACACTGATTTGAATTTGATGATATTAAGGAATTACTGATAATTTTTTAGGTGTGGTAAATATGTTTGGGGGAGGGAACAGTCCTTTTAAAGATACAGCCTGAGTTTTTTCTATGAAATGATATGTGGGATTTGTTTCAAAATAATCCAGTGGAGGTGGGGGGAAGGGATGAGAAAAGGTACAGATAAAGCAAGACCTACCATGAGTTGACAATTACTGAAGCTGACCTATATAGTTATCATATTATTCTCTCTACTTTTGTATGTAATTGGAGTTCTCCATGACAAAGTTTTTTTTAATGTGTGTTTTGCTATTATACCAAGTTTATGATCCAGAGGGAAAATTTCTTTAGCTTATCAGGAAGGTATAATTTATAAGATATTGTTTCTGTATTTCTTATGATTCTTTTTGTTGCAAGCACATAAAGCCTGATGCTATCTACTTGAGCCAGAAAGGAAGTTTATTTAGCAGCCAGACTTAGCACTAGCTTCAAGCCTAGCTTAATCCAGGGCTTAAAACATCACCACTGTTTATCTTTCAGGTCTGCCAATTAAAGATTGGCTCGATTCTCAGGCTCTAAACACTGGATCTCTGAAAGTTCAGGCACTGTTTCTGTGGCCTCACACTCCTAAGTGAAACATTCACACATCAAAGCCGGGGGGG